AATCTGAGCAAGTAATGAATAAATATTGACATAAGCTTGGAAATGAGAAAGGCTATGTATAGCAAATGTATCTAACTTAATAAATAATGAAGACCTAATGCTGTTGCTATTGAGTTTGCAACAGCTTTAGGTATTTGCCTCCAATCCTGTGGCTTCTTGTTTCTTCCAAGAGTTTTTCAGAAGCATATTTTGGGTGCTGACTTCATTGATGAAATATTTGTAATTAAATGATAAGAACTATCTTGTCTCCAGTGCTGATAGAAGTGGGTGAGGAGAAATGTTGTTACTAAAGAGGAGAATTATGAGAAAGCTGGCTTAGTATGCAAGTCCTGTTGCTAGTCTTGACTTTATTATTTTCTGTGTTTTTACCTTGTGGTGCTCAGTAAATTTTTTTTTTTCAGTGAATGAATAAACATAAGGTTAGACTGCACACAGAGGAGTCAAAGAAATCTTGTTTATTTGGAACAGCTAGTTGAAATTAAGTGCAGGTTTCCATGGTTGCCTCCCCTGGTTCTGTCTTGTTTCAGCTGTAAGGGTTTCCTTCAAAGGAGTAAGTAGAAATGTTTCCCTGTGACAAGGTTGCTAGGCTAACCATCCTGACCAGGTTCTTGCTCTTTGTGGATTCATTCTACCCGGTGTCTGGGAACCTGTGCTGTCTCAGGCTGACCTCAGCCTGGCAATGATGGCCTGGCAGACGCCTTAAAGGGTGGTTTCTGCAGTCTGGCTGTTTTCAAATTTTGGTTCTGCTGAGTTAGATCGGAGAAGTTACTTAACTTTTGGCGAATCCATTTCCTTATTTGTAAGATGGGTATAATAATATTTCCTGTCTCATAGGATGGTTTTTGAAGATTAAATAAAAATGCCCATAAAGCATGGAGCAGTGTGTCTTGCATATAGTCCTCAGGAAATGTTAGTTATTATTATTGGAAGTTACAGTTTCCCTTAATTAGTAAAAGTTAAATTTACTTACTAAATGTTGATTTAATATTCTTTGAAAATACCCTGTGTGTGTGTGTGTGTGTGTGTGTGTGTGTGTTTTGCTGATTTTTGGTAGTGAAAATTTGGGGGCCACCTAGGTCAACATCCTATTAACAGTTCATCCTACAATCATTTTCTGAGAGGTGAAGTGATTTGACCAAGGTAATACCACTAGTAATGAGTCAAACAAGTCTAAATATTATGTTTTTGACTCTAGATATATACTATTTTCCTCTGGATCCTACCCATTTCCGGGTATGCCTTGATGGTTTTTCAGAAATCATGCCAAACTATGTCCAAGTTTGTCCCAGTAAGCCAAAGACGGAATTTGGAAGAGAACAGCGGTCCCCCTGGCCGGTAGAGGGCGCCTCGGCTTTGCAGCGGGGTTGGCGGAGGCCGCAGGGGGCGGGGCTCCCGGGGAAAAGCCTCGGCCGATTTATCCAATCAGAAGCGTCTTTGTCATCGCGTTCCAGTCGGGGCGGTCGCCCGCGGAAATTTGAAATGGCTGACGGGTTGCCGTCGGGTGGAGGTCTGGGGCTTGGGGCGATGGCACCAGAGCGCACTAATTGGGCAGCCGAGGAGGAGCCGGAGCCCCTGGAGAAAGGTGAGCACCCCCCAATCCGGGCGGACAGTCTCCGTGGCGGCCTGGGGCGTCGGGACACTGGCAGGCGCCTGGGTCGCAGACCTGTCGGACTCTGCTGGCCACCGTGGCGGCGAAGGCTGTGCCAGGCCTGGACCCACTCTCAGGATGTCAAAGTCGTGAGGTACACGGGGACAGTTACCCCCCTCCACCCTCTTTGGTCTCAGTTTTCCTGCGACTGGAGGAAGTTGGACTTAGGCCAGGGATTCTCAGCCTGGAAGGGTTACCGGAAGCTTTGAGCTTATCAGTTGAGCAAAGATTTTTTTTTTTTTCATCTGCATCTCAAAGTAGGTCAAAATCACACTCCCCCTTTTTGAAAAAGATAACCTTGAATACTTGGCCTAGATACCTTTTCTGAACACTGAAGGCAATGACCTGTCTAAAGGTAGGGAATCCAATTTGGGACAGAATTCAGAAATAGAATACGCGTCCCCTAATTCTATCTCTTCTTGGAGATTCCATTAATGGGGGGCAGTTGCCGGGAGAAGTGCTGGGAATTGAACCAAGGGTCTTGCAAGCATTCTTCCACTGAGCTACATCCCCAGACCCCCATTTACTTTTTTTTTTCTGGCATTTTAAGCCGGTTTACATTCTTTAATACTTTGAATTAAATTATTTAATACTTTGAATTGTGTTATGAAATGGAAAGAATCTGGTCAAGTGAGAAAACATAGATGTGACTTAATTATTAATGTATCTTTTGAACTGGCAAAAGTTGATTAGCTTTTTTTCCCCCCCTTGGAAAATAGAGCCAAAAGTTCTGTCGACAGTAAAGATGAAGTAAGATAATGTGTAAAGAGTCATGTTTTTGAAGTGGTTGTAAAGAAAGACATATGCTACATGACATCACGTGGAATCTTAAAAAA